CTGGGGAAAGCCATCCCCTGGTAGGCCCGGTTCACTCTGGGAAAGCCTGCGTTGGCGGGGTCTGGGTAGCTCTGAGAGGCCTCTGGCAGCGGTGCCGAAGCTCTTGGAGTCCTCCGACGGCTGTGATGGTGGCGGCGGAGCTTCGAGAGGCCTCTGGCAGCATCGCCAAAGCCCTCGGAGTCCTCCAGCAGCGACGATGATAGCGGTGGGGGACCTTGGAAGGCTTCGAAAAGGTAAGTTTAAATTTTTTACATTTATTTTAATTTTGTGTGTGCGTGGGGGGGTTGTTTCTTGGGTGGGTTACGAATTAATTGCAGACTTTTCGACCTACGAACCCCATTCCAATACGGATTAATTCCGTAGGTCGAGACCCCACTGTACAAATCCAACCAGAAAACTCACTGAACTACCCAGCCAACTACCTCTGTTAAGCCAGTCCTTAATAGAGAAAGATAATTTGTATATTGTGAGATGTAATCGTTCTAATTTATAACAGCCAGTAGCCTTTTTTTTTTTTAAAAAATGACCTTCCCAAGTTGAGGCCTTCTCCCAAACTGAATCATCCAGCAAATGCTATATGGCTCTTATCATGAAGGAAAGATGGAAGAAAGCCTTTGAAAGCAACTTTGCAAACTGCATTTGTTGGAGGACATATATGCAAAGAAGGATTTACACATTTTAATAGATTTACTCTTCTTTTAAAAAAATATTGGACGAGTGAACTTCATGGGGCCACTGCAGAAAATGGATACTTTAGCAATGCGCTCCTGTTGTGACATGTCATATGAAAGTTATAATTCTGAAGTATATTAAGTGGAAACTTAACAATGCTGCCTCAGCAAGATTATCGTGTACAATGAAAAGATAATTAACAAAAAAGCAAATACAGTCATTAAAATGATCTTGAGATCTTTCACCCACCACAAAAGACTTAACAGATGCTCTAATCTGATATTCTTTGCTTCTTCTGTTATCTTGAATTGCATTGACTGAAGCACAGAAACCTGAGAAACAACTATTACTCTAGCATCTGTTGGGTTCCTTGGGGACCAGTGACTATAATTCCGTAGTCATATACTGTAAAGTATTAACAAAGGAAAGTTAGTAGACTGTTCAGGTTGCAAGTCTTTGCATTGCTGATTATTATTATTCAATTCTTTTTTCAAAAATCCATTTCTTCAAAAACCACAAAACCATAAACAATAACAACAACAAAATCCGGTTTATGAATGTGGGAATGGCTCTATATTGCTGCACAGTATTGTGTCCATGCTGCCAGCAGGAAAAAGGATTTATCTATGGATTTATAATTTATTTATTTCTTAAATCTGTATATCACCCCATTAGTGCAGTGCATTACTCTGGATGGTTTACAATCAACTAAAAACAATACATATAAGTAAAAATAAAGCACAAAATGGTATCAAGTGAAATAAAATGAAACAAAACAAAATAAGCATGATATGAAATGACATTTACTTTTTGGTTGAATTCCTATTTCTCTTTTTCTCAAAGTCGCCTGAGATTAGGGTTGCCAGATGTCAGGCAAAAGGAGGACATGTCCTCGTTTTTAGCCTAATGTCCTCCGTCAGGCAGGCAAAGATAAAAACCTTTAAAATGTCAGACTTTTGTATATTTTATGTTATAATTTTGGATGGGAGGGGGAG